GGCCAACTTGGCGTTGGCCTTGGCTGCCTGGTCCTCCTCGACTCTGATGTACCTGGATGCCTTGTGCAAAGCATCTTCGAGGGTTTTGGTTTTTCCTGTCTTCAATCGTTCACAAAACGATGAATCATCCTTCAAATTCTTGATAAGAATATTGAAACAAAGTTCGTCCGACAGACTGCACTGGGAGACGATTGATCGGAATCGATCGATAAAATCGCGCAGCGGTTCCGTGTCGCCCTGGACGCATGTCCATAGATCGAGCGCTGTGGACTCCGTGTCGATGTAAATCGAATAATGCTTCAGGAACCGAGCTGTGAGCTCCTTGAAGTTGTCGATGGAGTTCTTGGGAAGCTGTGAGAACCAGGTGAGGGCGCTTCTGGAGAGCGTCTCCACAAAGTATTGACAGAGGCATGCTTCCCGTTCCTCATCGGTGAAGCGAGCACGTCCTATGACTGCGTTGAACGCGGTCAGGTGTCGCTTCGGGTCTGTTGTGCCGGAGTAACTCGGAGGTAGCTTCATCCGACCTATATCCTTAAGAGGAGCATTGGTGATAGCCGACGTGAACGGGGTTTGCTGTGTCTCCTGAAGGATCTTATCCAACTCGGGCGCTGAAGTCGTCGCCTTGTGGATCTTGCTGTGGATATCATCAAGGCGTTGGTGGAGCAGATCGAGTTCCGAGGTTGTCGTCGGGTCAGTTCCTGCGATATTACGAGATGAGCGGGCATGCGAGCCGTCTGCCTGTGCTCTCCGTAAGTCATCCGTCGGTTTCGTGCCAAACAAGTTGTTGACCAGCCTGGTCGTATCTGTGTTGCGGATCGAAGGGCGAGGGGGGAGTGATAAGATCGACCTGCTCTTGGGTAGGAACCCTAGAGTTTATAAGCCGATCCAAGTCTTCTCTGTAAGCTATATGCTCGGCACGGAGGGACTCGAAGCGAGCATCCATTCCCTGTTGCAACTGTGCTGCAACCGACCTGATGATCGTGGTCATGTCGATGGGAGGTGGCTGTGGCAGGCTGGTCGTGTTTGTGCCACCCGTCTGACCGACCTGGTCTGTTCCCCCAGTGTTCTGTGCGGTAGTTGTGTTGTTTTCCTGATCGGTCTGGTGGGCCACCGGAAGCCCTGTGGCTAGGTCGATGATCGGATCCTGAATGTTTCTTGTCGGATCGGAGGCTCCTGTGAGGTCGGTAGTGTTGATCGGTGTTTGAACCATCTTCAAACTCTGTTCTAAGTCAAAGATTACTCTTTTATTTCCCTCAGACGGCGCCAACTGTAAAAACTCAAGTTCGATCTACGAAAGAACTAGGGTTTGTGGGTTTAAAGAGGTCTTTTATTAGAAGAAGCTGGAGCTTGAATGAATACACAAGAGTTTAGGTCGTCGGACACGCTGACCCAAACTTTTATAGAAAGTAAATCGAAAGCTAGAACAATCAGATTGCTTAGTTTGCCCTAGATCTCGATAGATGATTTTTTGGATGGATTAAAGAGTCGAGGACTTCCTGCATTTATAGCCGATCAGGTCGGTCTTCGACTTGTTTGGAATAGGAAACTCTTGTCGGCAAGAAGGAGTTTCTTTTTTTTCCTGAGTCGCTCGATAAATGGAAGATTTCCTTTTATGTCGCCGACCTGAAACTTGTTAGACGGACCGGCCAAAATTCATATCGGGCTTGTTAGAGACGGTACGGATCTCATCTCTAATATGTGGTATAGATTCAAACAATATATATATATATATATATATATATTGAATTTAGATTAAATAGAAAAGGTAAACCAATAAAAAATGTTTCTAAAAGAAATTATGACTAAAATTTGTAATATATTAGTCATGTATTAATGTAACCTATATATCACTAAACAAACTCAAAGAAATATAGATGTTTTGTATTCAAATTGAATAACAAAAGTAAATATAATAAGAAAAAAAAAAACACAGTACAATTTAGAATTTATAATATTCGCTACGTGTTACTATACAAACTCAAACAAAATAAATACCTTTTGAATTCAATAATAGCTTACTTTTTTTTTTGAATAGAACCTCATATCTTATGGTGAATATGCATTAATTAGTCAGTTGGTTAAAGAATGTTCAGTGTTAATATTAATTTAAATGGCTTTTAAAAATATTAAGTGGAAAAAACTAATAACCAAATAAAAAATAAATAGATAAAAATATTAAAAAGAACTAAAGCTAGTAATCTAAAAATTTATATGAATACTACATGTCACTATATTATTTTAAATCACGTAAAAAAACGTGTGTATAAATGAAAATATAGTTAACAATACATGTGTAATGATTTAAACGGAAAACATATGTAAAGATTCAATTATAATTTATTACATATGTGTATGTATTTAGTCAAAATTTATATGTTTGATTAATCGAATATAAAACATGAATGCAATACATAACAAACATTTATTAAAAATAATTACAACATAAAAGTTGTAATCAATTGCTCGTATGAATGTTAATTATATGTCAATATAGATATTCAAACAAAAAATATGTATTAAATTGAAATTAAATATAAAAAAGTTAATATAATAAATAAATAAAAATATTTCTCAAAATAATTACGATTTTGAATTTGTAATCTATTGACGGTTTGAATGTTACCCAAGATTATTATACGAATTTAAAATGTGTCTATAGATTTAAATATATTTAATCATATATAAGTATTATATAAATGGAATAGAGTACATACATATGTGTAATATAAAAAGCAAATACAATACATAGATAAAAATATTTAAAAAAAAAATACGACTTAAACTTTATGACTTACAATTTCAAATAAATTATGTGAACTCAAATTTAATAGAAAAATTAAATAAAATAATTCTTAAAAAATTATGATTTTGAACTTGTAACCTATTGACCAGTTTTGAGCCAAAAAAACAAACCTATTGATTATATGCATGCTACTCACGTGTCATTCTACAAATTCATACCGAGTCAAAAATATGTATACATACTCAAACTTAATCAATGATATGTGCGTATGTATTTAAACATAGTAAAATAAATACGTTAGATTCAAAATTAGTAGAATATTTATATTAAAATTTCTTGAAATTACTTAAAATTTGTATTTTCTTAAAGAGTGATTGAAATGCATTTAAAATAACTCGAACCACGATACTAACAATTTCATGTCAATATTAATTTAAATAGCTTTTAAAGTATTAAGTTGAAGAAAAACAATTTAGTAAATACAAATAAATAAATAAATGTAAATAAAATTGGAGATAGTAATCTAATTATGTATATTAATACTGCATGTAATTGTATGAATTTAGACTGCATAAAAGCATGTGTAAATTAGAATATAGTTAATTACACATGTGTGTATTTTTAGGGGGTGGTATTCGATGATTCAATTTGATAGAATGTACAAAAATTCAAAAATAATTGATTTTTAAGTAATTTAAAGTATTTTGTACGAATTTAAACTAATTCTATCAAAATCCTAGTAAAAATTGTAGGAATTGGTTCTTAACAATTTTTAGGTAAGATTTTATTAAATTATTTCCAAATGATAATACAATCAAAGCTATTACAAAATTGAATAACACAAATATTTAATAGAATTAAAAAATTAGTATATTGAATAACAATGAATAACAATGATATTTAAAAGATTTTGAAAGAATGAATAAAAGTACTTAATCCAATAACACAAGTATTTAAAGGAATTAATAAAATATATCATTGAATAATACTGATATTTAATAGAAACTTCAATTCCTTTCGATTCAATCCAAATTCTGAATCCAAAAATGGAATGCATATGTATGGATTCAATTATAATTTATTACACATGCGTATACATTTTATTGAAATCTATATATGTTTGAATTCAAATTGAATATAAAGAAGTGAATACAATACATAAAATACATTTCTAAAAAATAGTTACAACTTAAATCTATTGACTCATATGAATGTTAATTAAGTGTCACTATACGTACTCAACAAAATATATATGTTAAATTTAAATAAAAAGTAAATACAATAAAGAAAGAAAATATGTTTCAAAAAAATTATGATTTTGAATTTATAATCTATTGATCATATGAACATTACCTATGAGTCATTATATGAATTCAATCGAATATAAAAGGTGTGTATAGATCCAAATCTAGTTAACCACAAGTGAATATGTATGTAAACAGAATATAATACATACACATTTGTAATGTAAAAAGTGAAAACAATACGAAAATAAATATATTTTTATATAATAAACTACGACTTAAACTTTTTAATATATTACCTCGCATGAATATTAATCATATATCATTATATATTGTCAAACAAAATACATGAATTCAAATTTAACAAAAATATTTTTCAAAAATTATTATAATTTTGAATTGAAGATATAAGAAAATAGTGAAATGAATTTTATACCTGAAGCTGTTTCCAAAAAAATCCACACTATGGACCAGTTTACTGATATGTAGAGTAGAGTCATGAGACAATCCCCTGAAACCAAGTAATCCGCGAAAAGTCTTTAGCCTTCATGGTTATTTCACTATGTTATAATCTATTGACCATTTTTAACCCAAAACAAAACAAATCTAATGACTATGTGCATGCTATGCGCGTGTCATTATACAAATTCTTAATGGAAAAAAATCGTGTGAACATATTCAAATCTAATAAATGATATGTATGTATGTATTTAAATGAAGTAGAATAAATGTGTTTGGATTCGAAATAAATAAAATTATATAAATTGTTGACTAAAACTATAAAAAATGGAAACAATAATAATATTAAAACCCACTTACCACTTTCCTCTATATAAGGCCAATGTTTAACAAATCTTCTTCACACCCAACAATCTCCTCTCTCTGTATCCTCTCTCTCAGAGATATTGACAGAACAAAAAAAAAGAATCTTCGTTCACACCTATAAATCATATCCTCCTCTCTGTGTATCGTCCTCTCTCACACATATATTGACAAAACAAAAGAAAAAAAGAATGTGTCAATCAAATCGTGTCAGAGACGAGGTTACAGTACCCTTACTCACAAAAATCCCTCAACACCAGAAACTCCTTTTACTCAAAAATTACTCTGCTCCTCTCTCTCTATTTGCAAATGAAGCATTCTCAATCGGAAGAATCTCTTACCCATTGGTCCTCACAGGTGTCCTCCTCTACGTTCGCTCCTTCGTCTCTATGTTTTACCTCAGCCGTCTCGGTAATCCCACTCTCGCCGGCGGCTCCCTCGCCCTCGCATTTGCCAACATCACCGGATACTCTCTCTTCTCCGGTTTAAACATGGGAGTCGAAACCATCTGCTCTCAATCCTTCGGCGCAAAACGCTATAACTTCGTCCGGGCAACAATCCGGCGAGGAATCATCCTACTCCTCTTCACATCTCTCCTTGTTTCACTTCTCTGGATCAACATCGAGAAGATTCTTAAAATGTTGGAACAGGACAAGGAGCTCGTCTCTGCAGCTCACACCTTTCTGCTTTACTCTCTTCCAGATCTCATCGCTCAATCTTTCTTACACCCATTAAGAGCCTATCTCAGGACACAATCAAAGACTCTGCCTTTATCAATCTGCACAGGGGTCGCGAGTGTTCTTCACCTCCCGATCACCTTCTTCCTCGTGCCGTATCTCGGTTTGGGGATTAAAGGCTCCGCCTTGAGTGGGGTTGTGTCAAGTTTCAGCCTTGTGGCCTTTCTCCTCCTTTACATCGCTTTCTTCGATGAAAAGCTAAGTAACGACGACGAGGTCGAGGTTTCAGAGGAGGAGACGTTTGACGATAGTGTGAGAGAATGGAAGAAACTGCTCGGTTTAGCTATACCGAGTTGTGCATCGGTTTGTCTCGAGTGGTGGTGCTATGAGATCATGATTGTGCTTTGTGGGTGGCTCTTAAACCCCAAGGCAACCGTTGCTTCAATGGGAATTCTCATACAAATCACTTCCCTTGTTTACATTTTACCCAACTCGTGGAGCTTCGGCGTCTCGACACGTGTCGGAAACGAGCTTGGTTCGAACCAGCCACAGCGAGCGAGAAGAGCCGCCATTGTTGGACTAGGTCTCAGCATCGCTCTCGGGTTCACGGCTCTAACGCTCACCGTCTCGGTCAGAAACGCGTGGGCTCTGCTTTTCACGGAAGATGAGGAAATCATTAAGTTGACTTCGATGGTTCTACCAATCGTTGGCCTCTGCGAGCTCGGAAACTGCCCTCAGACGACGGGATGCGGCATTCTCCGAGGCTCGGCGAGGCCGAAAACAGGGCTTGGCATTAACTTGGCGGCGTTTTACGCGGTTGGGATGCCGGTGGGATCGGTTCTTGCGTTTTGTTTTGGGTTTGGATTCAAGGGGCTTTGGCTCGGGATGCTCGCGGCGCAGATATCTTGTGTGATTGGTATGATGTTTGCGACTTGTAGGACTAATTGGGAATTAGAGGCAGCAAGGGCTAAGGAGCTCACGGCGGTGGACGGCGGCAGCGACAGCGACAGCGAAGACGAGGATGTGGAGGTTGGGAAGGTTGATAATTTAGGGAGGGATGAGCCTTTAGGAGTGATAGAAGATTGCTCTGTTTGATATGACTATATTTTGGGATTAATTGATAACTTTTTTATTTAATTGGAAGGATATATCATTTTGATAATTAATGTAAATTTTGTAGGATAATGATAACATCCGAGAGACTCCGTCGTTGCAAAAATGTGGTGTATGCAAGGTTTTATAATTTAAGTCTTTTTTTTAACTAAATCGATTAATTAAGGGCTTCATTTATTCTTTCGCGACAATTTTTGCAAACTTTTTTTTGTTATTTGATCACTAGAAAAGGTCGAAGTGCTTACTGTTACACTGTGGATCCAAAATTGTAAAATATAATATTATTATTATAATAAGCGTTACTCAATTTTATAATATTTATTTTTGCATAGAGTATTATTTGAATAGATGTAATGACATTTGATAACAGTTTGCAACATTTATATTTAAAAACATTGAAAGTTCATATTTAATGTCATTTTGATATAGTTGGATTTATCTTTAATGTAATTTCAATCACTTTTAACTATTTGTAGATGGTTCAATGGTAAACAAAAAATTCAAATATATATAGGATTCAAGAAATTCCATTTGAAATTCTCCATTCAAAAAAAAAAAGACATTATACATTAATCAACTAAAATGATATTTTTAATATTTTTAGGTCATTTGTTTAAATAAATCTTTTGACAATCATAACATAAAAAGAGTTTTATAGTAAAAATTGTAATAAAGATTCATTAGTGTACATTTAATTTTCTGTTAATTTATAATTAGTTTGTTGTTAAGTCTATTTTTAATTTTATAATTTACTATAGATCCAAAATCACAGAATATAATATTAGTTTCATAACAAGTATAACTCAATTTTATGATATTTATGTTTTACATAGGGTATTATTTGGGTTGATATAATGATATTTGGTAACAATTTGCAAACTTTACATTTAAATAGTTCAATTTTAATGTCATTTTTGACAAAGTTCGAGTTATTTTAAATGAAATTTCAATCACTCTTAGAACACCTTTATCGGTGAGAGACTCAAAAAAGTTTTTTATCAATTTTTTTAACACTAAGATTTGAAATCCATACTTTTTAGTGCAGAACTATTAATGAACATTTAGTCAAACCATTGTATCAAAAGAGCTTTCACCATCTCTTATCAATTTAATAATAATATTTTAAGTTATGAATAAAATTTAGACCAATGATATAAAGATAAATATTAGATGAGTCTCTCATGGGTATCTAAGACAATCTGTATTACAGGTCTTTCACATAAATCTTTTATAAATTATAAATTAATAAATATTAGTATTTTATAATGTCATTCACTTTTTTAAAGAGTTTCATAATTAAATATTAGTATTTGTTACCTACTAATATTATATTATTATTGAGAGATTTATTTGAAAGACTTGCAATACAGATCTCTCAAACTCTCTCATTATCTCTTTTCTGTTTTTCTACTTTTATTAATATTTTATTGTGTAATCCTTACTTAGAGACCCTCAATATAATTACTCTTAATTATCTCTATGTTTTAATGTCAGAAAATACTCGAATATTTATGAGTTTATGAAGTTTCAGATGAAATTCCCCAACCAAACAAAAAGTACAGGAAGAAGAAAATAATTTACATTAATCAACTAAAATGCTCTATATTTTTTAATATGTCGGGGGTCATTTGTTTTAAATAGTTGTTTGACAATCTTAATGTAGAAGGAGTCTTATAATTAAAAAAAATTAAGAAAGATTCAGTAGTGTACATCCAGTATACTTTTAGTTTACTATTAATTTGTTTTTAGTCTACTTTCAGTTTCCAGTCTACTATAGATCCAAAATAACAGAATTTAATATTAGTTTAATAACAAGCGTTGCTCGATTCTATAACATTTATGTTTTACATAAAGTATTATTCATGTTGATGTAATGACACTTGGTAACAGTTTGCAAACTTTACTAAAAGTTCATTCTTGATGTCATTTTTAGCCGAATTCCAGTTATCTTAAATGCAATTTCAAACACTCTTAACTATCTATAGATGCTTCAATGGCAAGAAAAACTCGAATAATTATAGGGTTTTGGATGCTCTGCTTGGACTTCTCAAGTCTAATAAAAAGAAGAAGAAAACAAAATTTTACATTAATCAACTAAAATGTTTTGTAATTTTTATAATATTTCTTTTGGTCATTTGTTTGACAATCTTAATTTTAAAATATTCGTATAGTAAAAATTTTAAAAAATCTATTAGTATACATCGAATATGTTGTTAGTTCACTATTAACTTTGCTTTTTGTCTACTTTCAGATTTTGGTCCACTGTAGATCCAAAATCACAGAATATAATATTAATTTTATAATAACCATTATTTGATTCTATAACATTTATGTTTTACATCAATTATTCATGTTAATGTAACGATATTTAATAACAGTTTGCAAACTTTATATTTACAAACGTTGAATGTATTTTCTTAATGTCATTTTATGCAGAGTTCAAACTATCTTAAAAGCAATTTTAATCATTCTTAGGACTCTTCCATTGGTGTGAGATTCACAAGAGTCTCTTACCAATTAAATAATAGTATTTTTTAATATAATTTAACTGTATTGTTTAGTTAAAGTTATAAATAAAATTTAAACTAATGACATAAAGATAATTATTAGATGAGTCACTCATGGGTATATAAAGATGATTCAATGAAAAAAAAACTTGAATATTTATGGGGTTTAGGAAGTTCTACCTGGAATTCTCTGGTTAAACGAAAAGAAGACAAAAAAATCATTTTACATCAATCAGCTAAAACACTTTGTATCTTTTGAATATTTTTGGGCCATTTGTTTAAACATTTCATCTCATAATCTTAATGTTAAAAGAGACTTATAGTAAAAATTGTAAGAAAAATTCATTTATGTAGATCTGGTTCTATAATATTTTTGTTTTACATAAAGCATTATATGTGTTGATGTAATGACATTTGTTAAAAGTTCATTCTTAATATCATTTTTGGCTCTGCTTGCACCACACCGAAGATTTTCTATAAGCTTGTCTTTCATTAATCTGGTATAATTGGTAATAAATCGCTCTCGCTAGGATTTGAACCTCATACCTCTTGGTGTATAAGCATTAATAAATTCTTAGCCAAACCATTGGACTAAATTGAATTATATAGTCTCTTATCAATTTACTAATAATATTTTAAAAATAATTTAATTGTATTATTTAGTTTTAAGTTATGAAATAAAATTTAGACCAATGATATAAAGACAACTATTAGATGAGTCTCTCATAAGTATCTAAAGATCTCTCAGACTCTTTATTCTCTCTCTACTTTTCTACTTTTTTTAATATTTTAATGTGGGAGCCTTGCTTAGAGATCCTCAATGGAGGTGCTCTCAACTATCTCTAGATGCTTCAATGGTAAAAGAACTCGAATATTTATGAGATTTTGGAAGATCCGTATGGAATTCTCAAGTCACATAAAAAGAAGAAGAATTTTTTTTACATTAATCAACTAAAATACTTTTTATTTTTTAATAATATTTTTTGGTCATTTTTTAAATAGTTTGTTTGATAATCTTAATGTAAAAATAGTCTTATAGTAAAAATTGTAAAAAAATTCATTAGTTTACGTCAAATCTGCTCTTAGTTTCCAATTAATTTTTTTTAGTCTATTTTTAGTTTTTAGTTCACTATAGATCCAAAATAACATAATATAATATTAGTTTCATAAGAATTATTATTTGATTCTACAACATTTATGTTTGACATAAAGTATTATTCATGTTAATGTATTGATATTTGGTAACCGTTTGCCAATTTACATTTACTGTTGTTAAAAGTTTATTATTAATGTCATTTTTGACATAGTTAGAGCTATCTTAAATGCAATTTCAATCACTCTTAGATTACCTCCATTGATGAGAGACTCCTAAGAGTCTCTCACCAATTTAATAATAGTATTTTTAATATAATTTAATTGTATTGTTTAGTTTTAAGTTATGAATAAAATTTAGATCAATGATATGAAGACAAGTATTAGATGAGTTTCTCATGGGTATCTAAAGATGCTTTAATGACAGAAAAACTCGAATATTTATGGGATTAGGAAGTTTCACCTGGACTTTCGAGTCAAACAAAAAAAAAGAAGAAAAAAAACATTTTCCATTAATTATATAAATACTTTATAGTTTTTAAATAGTTTTTTAGTTATATATTTGGATAGTTCTTTTTTTAACAACTAATTTGATTAAAGAAATAAACCAGAGCGGTTACAAGAGAAACGAACCGGCTGTTTTTTGCGATACAATCTGCGATCATATTGCTCTCTCTTGATATGAAGGAGAAAGAGATCGAATTAAACATAGATGCAAGAGAGGTGATATCGAAGAGGAGACCGTAGATTTTCTTGATTCTCTCTTGTGAATTGATGGCTCGAATGAACGTTTGAGCGTCTGATTTGATGTGCAGATCGGGGATTTTCAGTTCCAGTGCATGGTTTAGGGCTGCTCTGATAGCCAGGACTTCCGCTACCAAAGCCGATCCTATAAAGGGAGCTGCTTCGTGTCCCCTCTGTGTCTTACAGTCTGCATGGTCAGTGAAGATCCACCCGAGCCCTGCAAATCTCGATTCAGCCTTCCAAGCCGCATCGGTATATGCGACAATCGTTCCAGGGTGAGTTAGCGTGGGGGGCTTGTGAGCGGGTTCAGGGTTGGGTCGTTTCTCCCTTAATTGAGCTTGAGCCCATTCACTCGCGTCTGCTGTGGCCTTAGTAATAGTGTCAAGTGGGGAAAAGCTTCTTTCCTCGAAGATAATTTGGTTCCTTGATGTCCATATGGCCCAGCATAGCCAGGGAAACAGGGGACCCGTTCCGACTCCTGTTGGGGGTAAACAGACCATCTTCTTTGCTGCGGATAGTGCCGTTGTGAAGTCTTTTATCCTGGAAGGATCAGGTGTATGGGTAAAGGGAGCAAGGGCCCATACCTGTTGAGCAAAGCGACAGTGCAGGAAGAGATGTTCTGTTGTTTCCAGCTCGCCG